TAATTTGAGACTATGTTTAGTTACTGTGAGAAACGTTTGCGGCCTAAAAGGGCAGATTTTTGGTTTGTAAGAACGAAGTTGACAAAAGATGCTAAAAAAGAACACAAATCACATTTATATTGCTTTAACATTTCATTTGGTTTTTGTAGGTATTGAATCCGGTGCACACAGGAGTTAGAGTAATTGGGGCAGATCTCTGAAGGTTTGAAAACCAATTTACGATTTCAAAGTATATAAAAACCCAGCCTACCAAAATAAAAATGTAAAGGATCCCACTGACTGCCATAGATCTTCTGGTTTCATCTCACACCATTTAGAACGATATTTTGGAGTAAAATAGATTTGGTGCAAAAAGGAATGAATAAACAAAGCAAACCTTGTTTAAGAGTACAATAAACACCACATTAGCCTTAAGTGTATGTTAGATATGATATAAAAATGCATTGTCAACATTTTAAGTATTTTGAAGCATGTAATGCTGTATTTCATCAGAAAGCCCCATATCTTGTGAATGCATATGTGACAAACTAAAAGCTTGAAAACGCCTTAAATAATTTTATGACATTCAAATTGTACATTTAAAAATTTTTAGATATACCAGGCATTGCTGTCCATAATGTTTGAAAATGCCATTGTTTATATCGACTCTTGTTGTGGCCACATCCCTGTTTTCGCGTAATCGTTAAGCGTGAGGGTCTTATTTGTAAATCTGGTTCTTGACAGGATTTTATTTTAAATTTTGTGTGGAAATGTGTTCTTTTCTGTAATAATCGTCGCCTTTTATTTTTAGTCGTTTTGCTGTCCATAATGCCCCGTCGCAGTTCTGGCAACACAGAGAATCCTGCTCCCAGACGCCAAAGTGCTCGCATAGCCGCAGCAGTTGCGAATAAGCCAACCACCCCCTCACCCGTTAAAAAAACGCCAAGGCGAGCTGTTAAGGTAATTCATTAGCAAACGTTTTAACGAAGATAGAGAACATCAGCGGATCATTCCGCCAATGAAAACGCCGAACTGAACGGTACTGAAGACAGTTCCAGGGATGCTTCCAGTGTTGAACAGACTTCAGAAAAAAGGCAGAAAATTGATGGTTTGTACAGAATTTTGCATGACGACCTGTTTAGGAGATGAAGAGTGTGTCGAAAACCCACAATCAAATGAACAGGAAAAATCGGCCAGTGGAATCGATTCAAAATTGGATGACACAAAATCTGAAGGTGAGTAGGTTTTTATGCTTCTTACAATTTGTACGTTTGTGGAGCTGTGGTCTGACTATCTACGGTTCGTCTTATGCAGGATTTTACCGCTAAACTTTTCTTAACTTCATTTCCAATTCATAACGTTGCATTTACCATTTAGCTTTACTGCCTTTTATTCGTTTTTAACTATTCTCATTAAAAATTGAAAATTCATATCTTATACTCATAGGCCCCTGAAGAAATTTTTAATGTTACATCGTTTTAGCTACGAAGGAGGTTGCTCAAGAATCCACAAAAAATCCCTTGGAGTCAGAGCATCAGAGTAAGTACTTTTAACCCGTTGCTGGTCCATTAAAAGCTCTGGCTTCGATTTAAATGACCCTCTCTCTAGTTTATGGTGTTTTTCATTATGTAAAGTATTAATCACGGAATACTTCCACACTCTCAATCGAATGCATTACTAGCCGCCATTTTCCCTATGCTGTGACAGTGGTCTTTTTTGCGTTAATGGTTACTGTTTAACAAATTTCGTTTTGTATATCCTCTCCCCTGTTCATCAAAATCAGCGTATTCATGGATATCGCTATCATAATTCGCATGTCCCTTCACCACGGGACTCAGTGCTTAAATTATATATTTGTCGTTTAGTCGTGATAGACGTGAAGTCTGCTGCTGTTGGTGCGTAATTGCCCTCGCAATGTGCTGAATGCATAGGAAATTAACTGCATATTCTGGCAGAGTAGCAATGCCTGAGTTGCGACGTAACTTGAGGAACCATTGTGACTTGAATATGTAATTGGTAACGCGAATAAGCAGTGTGCGCGTGTTTTTCACGGCGACAGATTTTGACGAAAATACATACTTCAAGCATTCAGTTGTGAAAGCGTGTGACCAAGTGGTGTGCTCGCGATTGCGCAACTAAGTAAGTCTGCACGAGCTACCCTACCCCACGCCTGCACGCGTGTGAATGTTGTTTTGTTAACTCTAGCGGCAACTGATGAGGGATTCGAAGTAGTTGAGAAATCTGATGTGCCTCAGCCCGATAGCGATGACGTCAAGAGCGCTATCGCCGCTCAAGGCGAAGACGGACAGTTGCTTGTAAACTTCGTGCAAGTCTCAAAGGACGACCTTCCTCCTGCAGTTCCAGAAAATAGTAGTGTTGGTGCTGCCGAAAAACCTCCCACAAATGGAACCGAACCCTGTGAACTTGGTAAAGGTGGTGAGTTGACCTTTCGGTTTGTGGCGCTACAAATTTCTTGAGTATTCACTAATCCAGGACGTGATGTCTTTTGTTACACATAGTCTTGAAGTGGCAGGTAAATCCTCTCTCCTGTTATCTCACAATTGTCCGTTCAATTTTCCCCATGATCAACTTGTTTTTGTGGTGATCATGTTTTAGACATTGGCGCCGGTGATGTAGTTGTTGAAGAACCCGCTCACTTAGAATCCGAGCAAAAGAAAGAGGGGACTCCAACAGGTCAGCCTCCAGAAACGGCAGTATCTCATTAAACCCTCCACCCCAACCGTCTTCATCAACCTGGTAATTTCCATGCGAATGCGCGCATATAATTGTTTCTCTTGGCATTTCTCCGTCCTCTCAAGCACCAATCTTGTACACAATTTGAGCAAATGTGGGCGCTTGTGTTTGGACCCATCCCCCAATGCTCCTATGTGTTTCGTTTTGACAACTATTTGCACCGCGTTCTCGCTGTCTAAGTTGCTCTTATTCACTGTCCTTTGTATATTTTCTCTTCCCATTCTGTAACGGAACCACATTCATCCACAGGTTCCCCTTGCTTAAGTAATATCAGATCAGTTATGTATTTGTATACCTGTTGGAGAAATGCTCCCTAAACACTCAAGTCGTTTATGTTCACTTGGTATAATGAATGTAAACCGCTGCGCCCCAACACCGAAGGTCAGATTTTTACTCTTATACATACACACATATTTACAAATATTTTCACTCATACAAGTAGACGAGTGATAGCCTCAGCCCAGTTGCGTACACTCCCATCTCAACATTTTGGGTACCTGCATGCCACCTCTGCATTTCTACCACATGGAGACTTTTCTTATATATTAATAAAGCTCAGGCCCTCATGTCTGGATGTAAAGTCAGCTTATTGTCCTTGTTTGCCCAAACCGCTGTCATGGCTAGCCAGGTGGCATGTACTCTATTTCGGGCTAGGCTGATTTATTTGTCGTTCAAAGACATCGAGGGCACACGAGATGTTGGAAACTTGGTAGTAGTAAACGGCAGAGGCGTCCCAGGGGATGGTTGAAAATGTGGCCATTTGTTGGCACATGCTACGTCCTGATTCTCTACCAATTAGAATTTTAGCCGACCGTCCTCTGAGTCGTCATTACGGGAGGTCAACTTCGACCAGGCCTACCCTAGTGCAGGTTTGGGAGCTCTGGCTTTTTTGTGCACGGGTTGAGGTTGATAGATGGACCGATTTTTTATGCAATGGCGGAGTCGCGGTCGGTCTTAACCGGATTGCCTAACAGGAGGGGGGTGTGACTTTGTTCTCAAGGGATGTCGACAGCTGGTGGTTGGGCGCTCATAGGTAACCGTCGACCGCCCCCAAACTAATTAAGAGATAGAGTGCTAGAATATCTAATGTTGACTGCACTTGTGGTCCTAACAATATCAAGTTCGTGGTGGCAGTGGTACCGGTTTTGGATGTGTGTCTAGGCGGGTCCATTTCTCTGCCAGTTGCCATAGCAGTTGTCTGGCTTTGGACCTGTCCACAGGATCTTCCTCGACTGACTTCCTTTCCAGGTTTTGAAAGACGGGGGCGCCAGTGGTTGTGTTCTCTAGGTCCAGGTTCTCCTTTGCAGCTACAGTGCACATTAGTTCGGTAACTGTGACGTTCTTTGGTGCTACGCGAGTGATAAGGTATCCCAAGTTGGAGAGGCCCTTGCCGATGTTTTGAAGCCATCGCAGGGGTGCCACTGTGCTGGCGTCGGTCAATTCAGCCGGCTGAGAAGTGCGGTTCACGGCCGGGTCAGCTATGAGAACTGAGAGCTCGGTTCCCCTTGTCCGCTCTGCGAGTTCACTAGGCAGAAAAAAACTAGAGATTAAGTCCAAAATCCTAAATTTGACAAGACCGGAGTTTACAAGACTCCAAAGCATTTAAACTAGTTTTAGTGACAAATAGCCAATTCGGTAAACCGATACGCAACGTAATCGGCAGCCTGAATACCCTTTAAGCGATCCATAAACAAGTAACCATCAGAAAGTTGACTTTGGATGGAACAAGCGTCGTGGTGATGGCTCACGTGCAAATTGAACAAAACAGACTAATTTCACCTGGACATAGTCTGATATAGATAATCGATTAGACAAACAGGCACGACCTCACACCAGCGCGATTAAGGCCGGTATTCCGCTGTTGCATGAATTCCGACCTAGGCAGGTTACGTCATTGGGTAATGAGTGCTCAAAAGTGTGAACGAGCAGAGGGTAGGCTACGAAAATGCTGTCAGTTAATCGATAAGCACCAAAACAACCCTAGTACACGAACCAGAGCTTCCTCAGCATCATGGATCGCTAAATGCAATGATGGCGTGCCTGTCTCTGCGCATCAGTACGACGGTAGTGGGAAGACCCTTAGACAAAGAAGTAATGTTTGCGATGACTCAGGTGGTCAAGTAAGGCTAAACTAGTCGTAATAGGCACGCGCAATGTGGGTTCTGAGTCGCCTTCTGGAATGGCAGAACGACACCGAGGAAGAATCGTGAACCAATTCCTAGGCAATTTACGGGCTTGGGGGCATAATTTGACCCCTGTCCCTAGCCCCTACGAAAACGAGCTCACTACTGCTCCGTTGATTTACCTGCTGAAGGTGACGTGTGTGGCGGGTGAGCACGCTTTTCTTTGTTACAAGTCGGTACGTTTTACACTAAACGACAACACCACTCAAACCGCATTTCCTTCTTGCACAGTTTGTCGGTAAACAAAGCAACAATAATCAGGCGTTTTGACACGTCAACATTCAAATGGATCTGCTTGGGGCATTTCGAAAAAAGTCGCATTTGCAGTCAAACTGGTATTTACTTTTTCTGGCGATTTGACCAATCCTCGCACAGAATGATACCTTCTGGCTCAAAAAAGCAGACAGTCATCAATTTGATCAGTGGCGCACTTAACGCTTCGTGTTCGAGACACGTTGGACGTTGTCATAGTCACGGCCCATCAACAGCGTGATCAGCTTTTACCAAAATGTGCTCCTATCGACGTCACGTTTTTCGTTCAAGTAAATCCAAGGAAAGCAACTCCCAATGAGCGTGCAGATTCCTCCTATTGCAGTTTCAACTGGAGCACCGAAACGACTGTGGCGAATACAATGAAACCGCACATTCTCTAATTAAGCTACGGCTGTGAAGACGCTGATGGGCAATCCCCACGTTTGTGGGGCGGTATGGAGTGAAATGTATCGAACGAAAAGCGTGTTTAGGTCACTACAAAGTTGATTTCCGGATTGTTCACAGACTTACGAGAGCGTGAAAAGGCAAGGACGCCTAAGGGCGTGTTCAGATGAACGGCAGCTGGCGGACGATTCTGGCGTGTGGCATGTTGATGGAGTCTGTTTTGTTGCACACACACTAGAGCTCAGGCCTACCACACGCTTCGATTTGTGGCCGATCAGGCATCATCATCATCACCACCCGAAATCGCAACGCTACCAGATGGTACAAACGCCTACAAGCGGACGATTCGAATCTCCGGAGCCAGGTTATGAAAAAACGTCCAAGATACTTTCCAAACACCTCAGAGAACTTTCTGAACTGCCCAAGAACAAGGGCCCATCGTTTAACAACTGAAGGCGCCTTTCAGTGTAAATGGGAGGAGTAACGACACGTTAGGTGTTTTGACACAATGCTCACCATTTCACCGGAATAAACAGGGAAATGAAATCCACCAATGAGAAAGTAGACGCATATTAACGGAGCTAAGAATAGGGTCAAACTACCATCACACAGTCAAAATCTCATGCCGACGAAGAGCTTAGCGATCTCATCCCACCGTCGCATTTGAACAGCACAAAAACATTCCAGCCAATCCGTCCTGAATTAAGATGTGGCGGTCACGTGCTCCAGGCCCAATTCCCGAGCTCTAGCCTCTACGAGGGACACTCCGCCTTCGTCCGTCAACCGCCTCGCGAACAGGACAGAGAAACCCTACACTCATCGCGCTTACTCACCCACCCACGCACGTACACAGCCTGCCACTTTGGCCGCTTTTCGGTCGGCAATGCCGTCCAGCGTGAATATGACTCATGGCCGAAATCACACCGACCAGTACGTCGGCTTGGCCTTAGCAAACGTGTCCTCTACGACACACGGTGTCCCACAACTTGACGAATGGATCCACGCTTACGCCCCAGGAAATCACGGTTCCAAACACTCACACAAAAGCGTTTTTCGTTGTTTTGGAAAGTGGAGGTTGCGCCAGCATTTGCAACTTAGTCAGGCGATTTCGCTTGACTGGCCCCTTGAGAGACCGTCGCAAGAACTGCACATCGTAAACAGGGCCCCGTAAAACCGTTTCGAACCGCGTAGCACCATCATCAGACAGCCAGTAACTAAACAGTAAGTATGATCGTTATTGATTGTCGTGACTACCAGGGCAATCAATAAAGGTCACCGTCGTCGTCGTGACTGCTTCATAGCACAGACAGTTTCAACTGTGGCAGATCAGGGCGAAAATGGTCAAAAGAGGGTGCCGGAACTGTCTGAGCGAGCTTTCCGAGGAAATACAAAACGTGAAGTGTCGGAAGAATCGCCGAAAACGACACATACCGACCTTGACATTCCGGAGGTCGAAATTGAAGTTAACTTGTCGACAGCATTTAGACGGTGAAAGTCGGGAACTCGTGGCTTATCTGGCGAGATTTCATAGAGTTGGGGAATAAGTGCATTCAGAATCTTAAATAACGACACTTCGTTCCTGTGGCGAAAAGTGCTTTCGATGCCTCCAAGATAAGAATCGCTAGATACGAACCCAAAAACAGTCACCAAGCCGTGGAGGATGTGGCAGGGCAATCCTGATTGCGAGTTTAGATTGGAGTAAGCATCGTTGTGTCACAAAACCACGCCACTACATAGGTGAGGTCGCTTTTCCGGTGTTATTTCTCGTCAGGCAAGCACTACAGCCGACGCAAAGTAGTCTTCCACAGTCGTGGTGGAACACCTGTTCTTGAAGATGCCGCCCCATGTGTGTTTCGAACACAAACCGCATTCGCAATGTCGACAAGGGTGTAGGATTCGTCCCCAGTAATGCATGCTGACCTGTCTTCGTGTTGGAAATAACAATTACTTTCAAGGCAGCACTAAACGGGGGCCCGCAATCAGTCACACATACGCACACCAAAGGACCTGAAGCGATCACAAGCACCAATGTCATCGATACAGGATCAGAATGCACACACGCACACACACATGAGGAATTTCGGCGTCACCATTCATTTTCGTATTACCAAAACCGCCTCGAATATTGAGGTATTATCGTGGCATTAGGAGCTGGTGTACAACGAGGAACAGCACTTAAACGCGTGCGCGGGTGCGCGCGCGTGCTGCAGCGTGAGTTTATATTTACACGCCTGTCTGTCAGTCTGAAATCTCGCGGGTTAGTGGCACAGACAGGAGCGTCGGTGTGTGTGCGTGTGTCTGCACACCAGGAAGCAGAGTAAAACATGGAGCAACCTCAGCCGCGCCCTACGCTTCCGTGGCAGATTTGAAAAGCCAGTTCGGGTGGTTAGCCCCGTCTAAGAGCCTGTCGACTTGCAAGTGCGTTTAGGGTCCGGCTTTAAGTCGGATAGTGATGAAGGCGTTTCTGAAAACAGGGCTTCCACAACCAGATGCCGGACTACTCGATATGGGTAAAAGACATTCGCAGAGAGGTAATTAACTTGCCGACATGCGTGAGTAGAGGTCGCACTTGGATTTGAATTACCGCCCTTCACTAGGACGAAAAGGATTGGTCCGAAGTCGACCATCGTCATTGGTTCAACTCAAGGTCACATCAACTTCGTAAACAGGACGATTTTTGTCGGAATTCATGGCGTTCGAACGTCCAAGGTTAACTGCACTGTCTACTTTGAGGTAAAAACCTACTAAGTATCCTTAGAAAAAATGAATCGTGGTAATACAGACCCATTAAGAACGCGCACAAGTACTCTTGACAAACCCGTGAAATGTCGCAATGATTTGCGTGAAAATAAGGATGCAGCTACAATTAGCGTAAGGAAGCGTCAATATCCAAAGGAAATGAAAATAAAAGTCGCATAGAGCAAATTTTTCTCGGAATGGGCTATCAATACACCGAAAGTGGATGAATCGGTCGCAACGCGTTCGTCGCTGGCATCGTGTCATTGTGTCGACACACAAACCAGCACGAGAAACGGCACACCCCGTTTAAAATTCACGAATTTTAATGATTCCGCAGCATAAGGAGGGACTGAACGCTCAGTTGCAGATTGAGCTTCCACGATTTTATCTCCCACAAAGCGAAATCACACACGCAACTATGACATTTGTGTTCCCAATACTTAATCTTCATTCTTGCAGACCAATTTCTGAAAAGTCACTCAAAAGTATGCCCCTGACCAGTTCGTTTATCAACAAAGTTCGGTTGGTAGAATTGTGGCTAAGGGCAGCAATAGAACTTCGCCAACACATCAGGCTCCAGTGCGATGGAGCTCTGATCTCGCGCAAGTCGACACAGGTCTTCGTTGACATTGCTTCTCGACTCCATGGTCTTCAAGGTATTCCAGTTAGACTAACGTCCAGAGGTGGAAGACTAGATGAGCAAGAAGGAGACTGAAGAGCCACCACGCTCCTAGTCACCTTTATTCACTGAGTGGAGCAAGTATGTGTGTGGGGGGAGGTATATGGTCTCAACACTTGCCAACACATCGAAAAAGGGTCTTTAGGGTTTTTGTAAAACTTTCCTTGTGGACTGCGACATGCAAAAGCAGCTTCAACAAACCGTTTGGGTCCAGAGCTAAAACAGGCATTGGTCATCCAGGTCCTGGAAGATCTTCACAGTCAACAAGACAGGTTATCACGTCCCCTTGCCACGTTTGATTAAATTTTCTTTAACTCGATTAGATATCTGAATCACGTTGTTTGTTTGGTAACACGCTTTTCCAATCAAAGACACATTCTTCACGTGTCATAACCGCAGATATCAAACGAGTAAGTCAACAAGTGATGTTTACACCAATGGTAGCTAACCAACCAATCGGATGTTTAGTCGGTTGAATAGCAGCTAGTGAATTTAAGAATAAGCAAATTTTGTAGCCATTGACTCAAATCAATGCATTTTCAAAATTTTCGTAGTGTCGCAAAAGCCAGATCACTCTTGAACAGTGGAATGAAGTAGAGTTCACCAGCGACACAATTCATTGCGTTCTCAACGACTTGGTTTAAGCGAAGTTTTTACTAAAGGATGTTTTGCAACGACACCACTGACCAATGAGGGTTGTCAGAGCGAAAACATTCGCAAAGCCATACCGAGATAAGTCATGACGATTTGCACGAATTCCGGTGTTTTGCGCAGCAGAAAAAAGACGCAACAGTTAGAGGTTTTTTAAATCAAAACAAAGAAAAAAACACCACTACATTATGCCCAGGGCACCGCCCACCAAACTGACGGCGACAGGTGGCTGGGAGTGGCCGGTCCCTCTAGCCTCACCTGGCAACACGCAGGACCACTTGATGAGAGAAAAAAACCAGTTTGAACATGGCCAGACCACAAGGCGTCACCACGGCTTGACTGTGTGTGTGTGTGTGGAAGGCGTCTAAGCGGAATCGCGAATCCAAACATCCGGATTCGAGTGCCGCGAGTTCAGCCAATAGACTTCGCGCTGACGGACGGGCGCATCGGCCCACAAAGAAAGCCCTCTTAATTAGTGTGCGCCCAATTACCAGGCGCTTCGTGCAAAATCAACTGCTACTAGTTCGTGAAGGTGAGAGTTGGCGCAAGGTGGTCGTGCAGTGTTTGCGTGGACGTTTGAGTTGAGAGAGCAACAAAAATATCGAATTGGAAGCTCACTCAGCAAAAAGTTTGAGTGCCCACTGGGCTCGCTGGTAGGCGCCAGAGGGGGTGTAGCCGACATTCCAATTCCAATTATCCAGCGGTAGACACACGGCGCCGCTTGAAGAGTCCTTCTCTGCAACCGCCTCAGCAAAGCCGGCGGCTCGCGTGTCTACTGTGAAGACGACTCTAGCGTCACGCCCGCCATCAGTCATAGCAGGCAGCAGGAGGCGTGTGAGGAGGTAGAAGGCGAAGAAATTGGTTCCAAGTTGGTACTCGAAGGCATCGTGGGTGGGTCGCCGGACACCAGCAATCACTCCGGAGAGAGGGCCAGGTGGTTGGATGAGGAGGCGGTCGATTCCGCTCGGGTAGTCCTTGATGAGGGCGCCGGCGAAACGGCGGATGGAGCGGGTGCTGTCCAAGTCGAGCCGACGACAGTCGATGCGTATCTCCTCCGAACCGGGCACGTGGCGCATCAGCCGACTGCGAGCGTCTTCGCAGTCGTCTATGGAACGCGAAGTGAGCACCAGGGTTGCCTTCCTCTTGGCCAATTCAGTGATCAGACTACGCGACATCCGACCTGGGGGAATAAGGGAGAACGCACAGCAAGTGAGGGTGGAAGATGTAGCCGACAACAAGCCTCTTACTGTCCCAAGAACGAGCACTACGCTTAGTCAGTGGAAGGTAGTTTCGGTTTGGTGTTGCTGTGACGTTTCGTTATCTTCCTGGCAATGTCATGATCCCACGCTCACAGAACTTGCAAAAAAGAAACTGAACTGGCCGGGTTGATTGGTGAAGGTTTAGGCATCCCGAGAGTTTTGCAAACTTCGAAAAAAAAGAAAATCTGATGGTGCAAGGTCAGGGGGATGAGGTATCGACACTGTAGTAAGTTGAGCAGAACTTGGAGTGAAGTAATTCAACAATGAAATTTGTCGAACTAATTCTGACGCGTGGGTTATATTGGTTAATCAAAACTCTACAGCACACAGCAACTATTGTGACTTTGCGAAGTTAACAAGCTACAATACATCGAAAATGCTTGTTTTTGAACGCCACGTTCAAAACACATGCAGACAATTTTACGTCCAATTCGGTTCTAAAGTGATAGAGGTCAACCGAAACTATGTTAACCCTACTGCTTAAAGTCACCAACTAGAGTCGAACGCCATACGATTTTCACAAATTCTTAAAGCCGGTTACAAACGCATGATTCGGGAGGAGATCTGACTCAAAACACTCAATTACCTTGGCAAGCATTGGTCGCCAAAGAAAGGGTAGAACGAACTAGAAGCTAGCACAGTGTCACCGCATGAAACACAAACACAGTCGATTGTAGGGTGAAATCAGTTTAGTTTGAATATCAGTCGAATTTCGAGAAAGACGGATCATAAGTTGACGGTTTTGAAGGAGTCCCCGTGAGGTTCGCTAGTACTAGAGTAACTGCACCACACGAACACGTGCCCCATTGGATGGTGTTGTGTCAAGCTTTAAGAGGATCAAGATAACCGCCAAATGCCCCTCATCGTCTCGCATTAGGACCTGTTGAGATTTGAATGCTTTGGCGAGGCCGATGATGCGCCGTGGGAGCTTGACACAAGTGCGAAAACCACTGACTAAATGAACAGCTACCGCGGTACATTAACACTATTTAGGAGCAAAAAGTAGACCGATGTATTGTTCAAAACAAGAGCTATGATGGATTTAGGGCTAAAACAAGCAAAAATCCCGAGCCACGTAGAAAATCCTTTGGGTAAAAACTGAGCACGACACTGCGGGACTTCAGACGTTGAAAGGTGGAGGTACAAGGCAGCAGTTATTAATCTAGGCATAGGATTGAGGTTGTAGAAACGGAAAAAGAGAAGGTGCCCCCAGAGTGCACGAGCGCGTGAATTTTCAGTGGCAATTTGATGCTGCGAGCGAAGCAATTGCGGCAACGAATGAACGCGGTGTAAAAGAAATAACCTGATGATATAAGCAAAGCCTTCCGTGGGAAAACGTCAAAATGCGTCCCTAATGCCACTCAAATCAAACTGTCGATCACTTTATAAGGTATCTTTTAATGCCTAGTCGCCTCCTCACTCAGATATGTCAACAAGTAGGGGAGATGCATGTGTAGTTTGTTAGGTTTCAGCAACTAGTATATGCCGATTAAGGGTTTCACTTTGCCCAAAAATAGCAAATCGATTGAAGCTAAGGTACTTCAGTTAAACTTGAGGAGAAAACGTTGCCAGCACCCAAGAAATGACCTCCAACAATTACCGAAGGGTGAGGCGAAAGGAGATGATAGAAAAACGTGGATGATTTATGCAGAACGCGAATCCTGGTTGCAAAGCAACAGATCGAAAGCATTCAATCCAAACAGGCAGATGGGACCACGTGGCAAGGGATCAAGCAACACGATCCATAACGAGTAGAGCTTTTAGTCTTAGCGACAAATGTCCGCAGAGATGGGCAATGATACATTCATTTTCAACGCGATTGTCAATAGAACCACCGACCAAGAATGAAACCATCGAAAAAGCTGGAGCAGACGAGTTTTTAGACTGGTTGAAGAAATTTTGGATTGATTGCCATCGGTTTGAGTTGGACAGCACGCACTTTATCCACCGTTTCGTTAGCGTCGCCACCAAGGATTACCAGAATGGAATCGATCGTATCATCATCCTACCTCCTTGGTTCTATACCGGGAGTGACAGCCGACGTCTGGATCCATCAGCATCTACCACAATCGCCGATCTGGCCAGCAAAAAGTGCAGTCTTAACGACGAAGGTCCACGGAGATGGACAATGATTCGACAAGCCTCATCAAAGGTTCCAGTGGAACCACCGACCACGAATAAAGTCGTGCAAAAGAACTGCCCACTAAGCGGAATCACTAATCTCAAGCATTAAAAGTAGACAACAGCGATAAACGTACCCGTGGCCTCGGTAACAACAACGGTCTTTCCACGCAGATCCACTTCTGGACCTTCATAGGCCCGTGGCTTGACGATCAACCTGTAAACGAAGTAGGTTCCGCACGCGCTGACAACGGAGACCAGAGCCTTCTTCGTGAAGCTCCATGGCTTCTTCACGGGCGGCAGTGGTTGAACCTGAAAAGGGACTGGTTGATGAGGCAAATTGACCCTGCACCGGCCCAGTAAAGCATTGTTTCGACCGAATTCGCAATGAAAGGCGTGGTGGCACAATCCGGAAGGTGAAACCACGTCTTTAATCTGACTTAAACCCAGTCTGAATGCAATGCCTGCAGCTTTCGTTCGGTACAGGCCCTTTGTCACAAAGAGCCAATGCTCAGGAACCGGAGTTATCACAGAAGTGAGACAGACAGAATCATTCTCCCAGACATACGGTCAACAAAGTGAGCACAGCTACTTTTAAGGTCATAGTAGCAAGTAGCCTTCATCCTACAACCCCTCAAATGCCTGCTAAAGTGAAACACAAGCTACACGTAATGACCAGGGCTGAGCCCACCAGGGAACCATCAATGTAAGCCACGTCCGCGGCCAATCCGGGAAATTTGAAGCCACCGTCTCAATCAGGCAATACATGGATGACATTTACTGACCACAAAACCAATTTTGGTTTGCTAAAATAGTAACCGCCTGCACAAGTCCAAATGCATGCACACAATTTAAGTGAAGTCGACATATGAACAAGCACTGGTTGTATTGATAGAACAAGTACAATAGAGGAGGGGAAATTTAGGTTTGGTACCAGAAGGACTCGTCGAATGAGTCATCGGGGATATTTGGGGACGTGGTGTAATCACCCTCTGTGCCCACTTCCTCCTCCCCAGGGAAAAGGGTGCCCTGGCTGACGCCGGCGACCGGGGCATCAACAACGACGGGATGTCGCGGTTCAAGACCTGAAGAGGAGGACGAGGAGACCGAGGAGGGGATTGTGGAAGGATGGAGAAGGGGGTAGAAGGTCCTTCCACGTTGCACAGCTTGATTTCGGTTGGAGAACAGCTGAGAGTCTGCAGAAGAACGTCCAGGTAGAGAAGCACGGTGGCCTGATGCAGTGTGGAGCTGATCAAGTGCCTATTAGAAAAAAATTACGCTTTTTACAAAACAAGGCCAGCGCAAAGCAAAAGCTGAGACCAAAGGAAGGCAACACTACTGCTGCATAGAGTGTGGGTAAGGGGTACGTAGAAAGGCCGCTCTAACCTACATTTGATTCAAGCAAGCCCAGATTCTGAATCACTCTTTTTTCTAACGTACAGGTCTGTGACACAACTTGCCTAGAAGTTGGTAAAACCTCAATCTGAGACGCTGTTCAAAAAGTTACGGAACAGTAACATAACACGTAGATTCTTTTCGTCAGGATGCGTGGTTCATCTTTTGCAAAGCCGACCTATAAGATACTACTGCAAGCTATTTTTGTGGTTGAGAAACACTTAATGCCGTAGACATATGTATTGTTTGCAAAATAGGACACCTAATTCTTCCTAAATGGAAGTAGCAGGGTTCTGGAAGCATGATTCATCACTAAAACAAGCATTGGGCAAACATGTCAATGAATTAGAAATGCAGCTCACATCTGACTTGATGAGGGATTCAGTATGCTCCAGGGTAGCTTCTGCCTCCGCAATAAGACGTTCTTCGTCAATATTCTCGCATTTTAGTAAAACGGAAGGAGCTTGAGTGTATAGGTGGATTCGTGGAAAATAGAGGCTGCAGGAGTACATTCTAATCCCAATTTGATTTGCGGGACGGTAACGATGTTTCTTCAATAGAGGATTTCTCAGTCGAGAAATAGTTGACAGCCAAGAAAGTAACACAAAACCCAAAGCTGGCTAGGCCAAAAAGCATAACAGGCTTGTTCTTAAAGCTTAATTTAAAAATAAAGAGACAACATACTGGTCGAATAAAGAGTTCCGGGTTTAATATACGGAATAGTGTAGTTGAGGTTACCTTTGGAGGCTTGGACTTATCCGGCATCCAAATTATGCACCGCAAACTAAAATAAGCCACACATTCACACTAAAAATCAAGGTTAAATATATTAATTCAGTAAAGAGTGTACCCTAATTACAATGTGTAGTAGCCTAGCCTTCGGTTCACAACTTCAAATCGTGTTACAGTTTAGACTAATCACGCGGTTCGGAAGATATACTTTTTTTGGCGTATCGACATGCAGTTGGTGGTGGGCTTACGAAGGTAGCTAATTTGCACCTTTTTGAAGGTCAACTTTTGTATTCCGATAGAGTGCGTTTTGTTTCATTGGTAATGAATGAAAAGGATTACAAACCTTTACCTGGAGCATGTGTTAAAAATTTGTGTGACAAGTTATTTGAAAAGCGAAAAACTGGGGCAATGGAGGTGGAACAGTAAGAGTTTCGACATTCTTCGCACACTATAGACTTGTAAAAACTTTAGTTTCTAAAAACAGACACATGGAAGTGGAAAAGATTATTCACTTTTTTGGGCGGGAATTCATCTTATCATCTAATGCCAATGTGCGAAAAGGTGGTCTTATTGGTCTAGCATCTGTTGCCATAGGGCTTGGACATGTACATTAAGAGTATTTTTAATGCTAAAATTCCAGGCTTCTAGGAATTATTCCGACGACCTTATTCTGCCACTTTTGCAAGTTCTTCGTGATGGTGATGCGAGGGTCCGATATTTTGCTTGTGAATCTTTGTACAATATAATGAAAGTTCTTCAAGTACACTCTTTGAAGTATTTAAATGATGTGTTTGAAGCACTGAGCACTGTAAGTTAATTCGCCTATTATCATTTTTGACTGACCGGGGTTAAGTCATTACCTACTTTCTCTTCTTGTAGGCTACCTCTGATCCTGAGGTTTCTGTTAGGCAAGTTGCCGACCATTGCGACCGTCTCTTACGTGATATTTTAACTCAAAATCTTGTAATCGACATGGTGTCTTTTATTCCTCTTGTTTCCGAACGACTTTATACTCCAACCCCATTTGCACGTAGCTTTCTGGTTTCCTGGGTATGCATAAAGCAAGATATATGCACATTTCTAAATTGAATCGTTTATAACTCATTCGATTTGTAGATTTCAACTCTCAATTCTATGCCAACTCTTAACGTAGTCATATATCTTCCGCAGTTGCTAGACGGCCTTTTTCGTATCCTTGGTGATTCAAATTCCGAAATCAGGAGAAAGTAAGTGTGATACCTGGTCCAGTATTTTATTTTCCAACCTTCAACAAAGTCGACTGCGACATCTGTACATGCTAGTCATTAATTCTCTGTCTTAGGTTATGTAGGGAATTCCTTCACAGAATGTAATTTCAGATTCAGTCCTTCTTCCTTAAGCTATTGGTTGCCTTTCACTGGCTTGTAAATTCTCATTCCCTTGACCTTTTGACGTTTTTTTTCACCGTTATTACAGACCCAAAATCCCCAAGGTAAACTTACGTTAAGGTTCCAGCCGTTTGATAGAGAAGAATTAATGCCATTTTGCTGTAATTGGCTCTTTTTTGATTTACTAGATGTGATCTTCTTCTCTGCGACTTTTTGTCTAACATCGGTGAGAATCCTGCGTCCGTTGACCTCAACTCATTGATGAACATTCTGATTGCCAATTGTCGAATGGCTACCGTGTGTGAGTCGGCCGTGCATGCTGCACATGCATTTTTTATTGGGCACCTGACAAGCAGTTGTTAGCCTCGAAATTGTCACTTTTTACGTTCTATGGCGATCATATAGACTCACTTTTCAACAGTTGTGTATGCGTTATCGCCGAAAACAGTAATGTTGGTAATACTTCCACTTGCAACTACTTTGCCGATCTCTTAATCTGTTGTTAACGCACACCATATTCTAACCTTACAAAGTTGTCACTTAATAATGAAACTAAATCTCCAAGTGCCATCCTCCCCTTTGTTTCTTTTGTAAAAAGCGCTCTCAAATATGAGTTTGGAAGACAAGGCACTAGACAGTTTGATGGTTCTCTCGGGCGCAAAATCAACCACGGTGCAGTCGCCTGAGCGCCTCCAACAGGTAACCGCCCTTCAATGGATCCATCGCTTCATTGAAGTCTCGGCGGGGAACGGACTCAAACTCTTGCGTCTGGTGGCTCCCATCCTCTCCGCTATTCTACCCTGCCTGGAGGATTTTGACGACGTGGATGATAAAAGCAAGTTGCTAGGAAATTGTCTAGCTTCCGCTGGAAGCTTGAAAGTGGCGATTTAAGAACCAACCCCATAATCTTCATTGTAATGCTAGCCGTCTTCTAACTTGTGACCTTTGTTTCGTGGCTTTAATTAGTTGCCAATTTCAATCACATCTAATGTGTTTTGCATTTTCATTGAAACCAAATCGAAAACCATTGGAATGTATGAAACGGAAACGTTTTCTACTAATAGGTTACATGCAAGTGCTTTGTGTTTTGGTTACAGAGCGGAACGCGTTTAGCCCAACTCCAATGATTACTTCAAGATTACAAATAAATCAAGCAATTTTCTACCACTTAACGGTGGCGTATGCGCAAATTTTTTTTTGTGGAAATTTATTTGGTCAAGGAAACATGAAAATATGCTAAAATATCGATTTTTCCGATTGTTTTATGCTGTTCGGCTAGTTTTATTGGTCCTTTGCCATGTAATTTTGCGTCCAGTTATGTCAAATCAACTGACCATTGAGTTACCCTTTTCCGATGCATTCTCTTCTAATTTGTCCAACCCACTTGAAATCATATGAGTATTCTCCCGCCGATTTGATTGGTTCTTTGGAAACTTAACCAATCTTCTAGCGTCCCCGAGGAAAATTGGTTGTGTGTGTGTGTGTTCAAACCTAATCATTGCGTTTGCCTTTCCAATGCTTTAGCTGCAGTGAAGCTGGCTGCCGACATTAACGAAAAGTTGATGAAATTCGTGCATGACTCGCAGCAGCCGGATTCTCAGCCACCACCGGCAAACAGGTGAGATCAGAGGTGTTGTAGCGGTTGTACGATTTCTCATTCCACCGAAAACGCTCCCGCACCGAGTCCAGGTAAATTCATGGCTTAAAGACCAATCAAACATCGTAGAGCCCCCGCCAGGTTAGTGCGACACCCTGCACAGTTTCTCCTCCAATCGTCATATTGCCTTCTACCTAGAACTAACGCTGCCAAGCGTGATGTTTGTCATTAGTATTCATAGACACTTGTACAAAAGTGGGACTGTTGGCCAAGAAGACAGCAGACTAGAGGTACAACCGTTTATAGTAGATGGTTCAATTCAGTTGTGCATTCTTGTGTGCGCGCAGGTTGTGTAAACGCAGGCGCGGACTGAGGCAAGGTGCGCCAAATGCTAGGTTTGATGACTTGCCAAGGTCGATAGATGTGGTGGACGCGCATTTCGGCACAAACACACAAACTAACGACTAAATTCAATTGTTGTGTGACCACCAAAGCGTGTGCCTGAGAGTGTAACCCGTGCTTCTTCCTTCTCCTCTAGCTCAGAAGCCAGGAAGTCCGCTGGCCTCGACTGTTTTAACATCCTGAAGGTCATCTACAAGATGTTCGACCACTCCTCAGTCCTGACGCGTCTAGCGGCGTTGCGCTGGGTGGAGGTGCTTGTCGTTGTCCAGCCGGAGGCAGTCCTTGCCAACTCCGGCGAACTCATGCCGCTGCTGCTCAAACTCTTCTCCGATCCCGCCGTTGAGGTATCCGTCTGCTAAGTTGAAGCACTCACTTTACACCACGTCAAGTGACTTTGCATAGTCTGGCTTTTGGCCAAAACCTCGGCTCTTCCCGGTGCCCTGTTTAGTCGACTTTTCCAAGTCTTCTCCAGCACCTGATTGTCGTGCCTATTAGGCAACATCTGTCTGACTTCTAAAGTGTACGGCTCGTTCAGCACGCGCTCCATGCATCGTTTCAGGTTGTGCACTCTGCCGTGGCGCTGGTGGGCTGCCTTTGCAAGCACCCCGTGGCTCGCGACCTGTCCGACGCGTCGTCGAGCGACCTTCAGAGGGTCCTCGCCAAGCTGGTGACAGTCAGCCCGGGGATGGGCGACGATCACCAGGGGGAACGAGCGAGCATTCTCTGTCTGCGCTTCCTCCTCGACGTGGTAAACCGGTTCATCTCGGACACGGACATGCTCGTGGAGAAAGGCAACCTGATTATCACGTAAGTTGTCGTGTCTGCAGTCGCGACTGTGTCAGGGGGGGGGGGGGGGGGGG